GAGAGAGTGGAATTTGATCTCCAAGAAACGCCGAGAGAAACAAGAAACACAGAAACGAAAAGCGACACCCCTACAGGGCTTAATCGCTTAATCCCCCATCTCGGCCACAAGTTTCACGAACCAAATGAAAAGCTGCGTGTGCAGAAACGCTCTCCGACGAACGGAAGGAAGGGACTCCGTCCTACACGCGAAGAGTCTTCCGTCCTTCGTTAAAGGCACACTGGGAAGAGGTTAAACCCCAAATTGTACAGTATCGAAATTAATTTCACTGGTTCGTTAGATTTTTGCAGTTCGAGTTGGCTGTGGAACTGCAGCGAAGACGAAATAAATAAAATTCAGATGAGAATCTTTCCCAGGAAAGCTGAATCAAACCGGAAGCATCGAATGTTGTTGTGATTCGAATCGCTCCCACGAATTCAGAACGGTTCTGAAATGGGATTCAAATCGTATTCAAATAGAATCTCGATTCAGGATTCCGTCCGCTGTTACCGGAGCGATTTCACGAATCCACTCGTCCCCCTGGCTTTTCATAAATACCAGATGATTTGCGTTTTATGCTCCCATGACTTTGTAGGACGACCCTCCCGATACGCGTCCCAATAAAGCATGGAAACACGACGATGTTGAGCATGATCATCGAAGCGAAGCCGCACGCACCGCGAAACCACTTCTACAAATTGCAGCTCGCATTTCCAGAATGTGCTCTGCATATTACATAGCGACCTGCACTTGCGATCGCGAAGCCCCGACTGGATAAAGAGTCCCTAGTGACTGCGTGGCTGAAGTCGAAGCCTCCGACGCCAGGCAGCTCACCAATAATGCATGGGGCTCCGTCGTGTGCGACCGGGTTTCTCGTGACAGTAATGAAGCGACGGGCATTACTTCTGGAGCTTTCCTGTTTCTTTTATTTCGAAGTGGCTGAGACAGCCAGAGAGGACACGAATGGAGCAATCCTCGAATAGCACTTTCACGAATGCAAGTTTTTCATGAGGCAGCTATCTAAGGGCAATTTTCCATCGATCGCCCTACTACCACAAATAAAACTCAGAAGGTAATAAAAATCGGCCACCTCTGCACGCAGATCCACAAGGAACTGCCCGAAAACGAAAACGACACCGTCGCTTAGCGCGAACTCACAGCCTCGCCGGCTACAGTCAGGATTTCATGGCCTCGGGAACCTTCACAGAATAACCAGGAAAGCTTAACGATCGTATTTCCCAGTCGCCAATGATGACGTTCCATGTCATAATAAAAAATACAACGGGCCGGTTTGATGAGAGGGCAAAAGTCGTCCGCGGAGAGCCACTTCAGGGCCACCCCGCAGTTCCGGGATGTCTTTTCGATCCAGCTCTTTAAGATCGTGTCTACGGTAGCACGAATGCGATGCTCCCGGTCGTGAAGGAATGCCACAGCTCTACTTTTGTAGAGAAGACATCACGGCCTAAATCAAGCGAAATTACGAGAGCAATAAAAGAGTAATTGTCTCTCCGAAAAAGGCTTTATTCCTCGCGACAACATAAAACGAGAACCACGGACAATTTTCTGGTGACGAGTATCACAGGGAAAGATTCAATCGGCCCTCAAATGAAAATTGTTTCTCTTCGTCTGTCGACAGCGGTCATTCATTATCACAGATCATAATCATCTTCGAAAGGAAATGAAAAATGGAGAGAGTTCGCAACTCTTGGAAAAGTTGGCACGGATAGTTTGATTCTTCCCCTCAGTCGATCAGTAAGAACCGGGTTTGAGAACAACGAAAGAAGATGAAAATCCAATTGAACTGCGGGTAGCTGGTAATCAAATGCGAGGAAAAGACAATAGAAAAATCCCCGAGTTGCAGCCACTTCAAGGCCATGTAGAAATTGTGAGCAATGGAAAAAAAAAGTCATTGTCTTCTCTGTAACTACTTAACCGGTTGTGTTGAGTTCAATAGTGGCACCGGATTTTATATATGTATAAATCGTTTTTTTTTTTTTCACCGAGGGAGATGGAATACGGTGGAATACCGCGAACAAGAAGTCAAGGAGGACGAGGTTGAGGTTGAGGTCTAGGTTGGGGTTGATGAGCAGCAGATGAAGACAACAAGTGGCATGGATGAGCAAGGACCATAGCAGGAGCACACGTGAGGATATGACCTTGATCACAGACGCCGTGTCCGTAACAGGGAACTTGGACGCACCCCAAGGCCGCAGCCCTCCCTCGCCCCCTCCCCCTCCCCCTCCCCCTCGCGGACAAGGCACTGTGGGACCGCTTTGCAGGGACTCGCGACCGCGGCTCCACGGCGTTCCTCCGCGGCGATCGCAAACTCCGGAAGGCAGGGCCCCGCCACGAGTCCGAAAAGGACGATTCCCGGTCTTGTGACGGCGGGACGTAATCCGGCGGAAGAACGTCACTTGCGTAATAAGGCACGGGTTTGGCGGGCAGCAAATCTTCTTGCTCCTCTTCGCTCGCCTCCATGTCTTCTTCCTGAGGCTTCCGGTTCTTCTTGTACATGACTTCATCGTCGCTCGGATCATCCGGTTCCCGATACAGATACAGTTCTTCGGGATCCGAGGAGATCAAGTCTGGATTGTGGCAGCACTGAGTCCTACCGGGGCACCCTGGAGCTCGGTCCCCTCCACGTCTGTTCCCTATAAACAGAAATGAAAGAGCTGTCAGCCCCAGGTGGACAAGGGGCAAGATGCAGCCTTGACATGTCATTCCCTGACGAATCGAAAGAGGTGCCACTCGGCTCAAAGAGGTATGGCCGTTACGTAGCCGTATGACAGAGACGGACCCCGATGACAAGCTATCCAGCACATGTTGTACCCCGCGAAAATGGTTTCCTCACATGAAAAAGGGGGCTCGTAAATGCAGGAGACGTCACTCATCCAACTGTTCGTCCCTCCTTTTAACAAAACTACCTTTCCGCCGCACGTATAGCCATGTAAGCCTAATGATGCGCCGCGAGAACCACATAATCAGCCTAGGGCACCAGGGCTCGTAACTCTTGTGTAGCGTTGATCCCGACTCCTTTTGCATTGCCGATGGTACTGGCTTTCTCCGTGGGGAGCCTCGTAGCTCAAGGAAGAAGAATCTTCATCAGTATTCCATTCCAGGCTCATTCTAAGTATTCCATACCAGCCGGGAGCAGGTCTTCTTGACGTACTTTCATATTACATACGTGAGAGAATGCGAGCTTGGAGAAGACTGAACCGAGACTAACCGGTGAGGATTTCTTCGTAGACAGGGCTTTGAGAGAGGAGAGGTGAGCAATAAGGCGCGTGATGGCAATGCTCCACGGGAATCTCTTCTCTGTCTTGAGACCCTGGGAAGATGGCGAGCTGCACGAACAGGTCTGGCTCCGGACTCACTAGCTGGCCCTGAACAAAACATGAGCGAGGTTATAAGATTTTGCATCAGGAACAAATATCGGCCAATTTTAGAAATGTCGGTTGATATCAGATGGTTCAATATTATACTTTAGATACTTTTTCACACGAGACATGTAATTCAAACAAATACCTTGGTGTGGCCATTTACAATAAACTGACCCTGGGGAGAACACATACACATCGCAGCTTCCAAGGTAAATAGAGTCCTCATGCCTGCTGAGGCGAAATCTAAGCCAGGCCTCTCCAGGGGGCCAGGGTGACCATATACATGTCCCTTGAGAGACTCATTATACAGTATGCCCTGAAATCTAGGACGCAAACGAAATGGGGAATAAGGGTCTGCTAGAAAAGGTACAGCATTGAGCTGCTACGTTTGTCCCTCGTGACTGCAGTTGGACTAATGACTGCTTCGTCAGTCAAGACCATAGCATCAATGACATTAGAGACTACGCGTCAGAATGCGAAGTTAATCCTGTTGCATAAGCGTACGTTATTCCATGACAAACTCCAGCTGGGCTTTGCTCGGAGAGGAATTCACAATGAGGAAGGGCTTGCAATGTTCAATTAATCGTATCCCGCAAGGTGTCCTCTGTTGGTTGTTTATGTAACAGACTGACACGCTCTCCCCTCGCATACAGGCTACAACGCCATTATTGAAATCTTTGGGGGAAAAACTTCAATTTACATTTTCAATAAATAACCCTTAACAGCCGCTCCCCCCTCCCAGTTTTCACCATTGTGAAGGTTACAATTTTCAAACTCAGCAAAACATTGCTCATATCTTTACATTCTGGTTTCGCGCAGGACACGTCAGACCCTCTTCATGGCATGGAAGAACTCAGTAAAAATAAATATATAAAAGAAGGAACCTCAGACTACATCAAGATATTTGAGATATGTAGGATATTGGATCTCAGTACCGAAGCTCCCCCAGTCAATCGAATATTGGGACATCCGACATCGGAAAATCTGATATAGTTGCAGCCATAGAAGATCCTGCAGATGTTTATACCTTGGAAGATGTTTGCGAGCGGAAAATGAGAGAGATATCCGGTCGCACAACCCCCGCAAACGAATGCAGAAGCCAAGTCAATTCGTTTCGGCTCATTTATTCGACCGAAGAGGATCTGTCACTACTCCCTAGTGCTCGGTCGGAGGAGAAAGATGAACGCATATTACAAGAAGGGGAGATCGCAAGGTTCGAATTTCATCTTTCCCTGCCCCCTCATTTCACGGCCCCAGTCCCCTGATTTCAATGAAGTCTCTGGCTGACAAATGGCCGGAGAGAGCTTTCTAGCCATAGCCCTGAAATTGGGGCCATAACTCCAGCCAGGTCTGATATTGTGGGGCCCCATATGTGGATGAGAAACGGTTATGTGTATTTGGCGCGGCGAGATGGTGTCACGGCCAGTTACTCGAGTAAAGATCTTCTTCACCACGAATGAAATCGAGAGACCAGAGGGGGAAAATGGGCCTCGGACTGGTTTAGTTCTGGTTACTGCAGAAGTAATTTATTATCGCGAATACCGGATGCTTTTAGCAAGGAAGCATCAGCTGTAATGAAAAGCCAAGGATGGCGAAGAAAGGGGGGCATTAGTGTCAACGAAATGCAGTGAGCTGGCGCAATTCGAGCCCGTTGGACGACTGTAAGACAGAGGCAGATGAGAAGTGGGGGACGGTAGGGGGTCCGCAAAAAGAGAGGGAGAAAAGGAAAAAAGCCATCAGAAGCCGGGCCGGGCTCTTCAGCCGTGAAATTATCCTCATCCGAGCAGGAATATTAGGGGGACGAGTGAAAAATACCCGCCGTTTCCTGTTGGATTCATCCTCGTACATTGTTCACTGCATGACGATTCGTCCTCATGCAGTGAACAAAGTAGAAGGGAAAATGGGATAGCGATAAGGAAAGAGATTTAGCCGAACCATGCACGTTATCGCGACACTGTCTGACTTCAAAATCACTTATAGAAGATACAAGTGACATAAGCATCCTGGATATGAACCACGTTTTCAGAAGGGTCTCTTACCGACACCTACTGGGATAATTACGATTTAAAAAATCAACCATTTCTATTAATATCATCACATTTCAAGGTTGAGGGGACAGGCAATTGTAAAAACATCTCGAGAAGCTGCTGAACAGTAATCATATCTAACGAGCCCAATATGTAAATGTATCCAGAGTCCCAGAGGCTATGAGGAATTTCGACAGTGAAAAAGTGGGACGTTCTCGCTCTAAAGGTTTTTTTTTAAATGTAGGTGTGCATGCGTGTGTTGTCCCCGAGGGCACTCGTTATTGAGGTGGAGAAATTATTTATTGAAAGGAACCACTTAGCCCCTGACCTTCTGACGAGCCGAATAATGGTTGGGCATGGAGGAAGCGGAGCCAGACGACCTGAGCGGAGGACGCTCGCTCAGGTCTTCATATACCACATTCCCGTTCATCTTCACCGCCTTTGTCGTCTTTGAAGCCGCTTTCCGCAGGTGCAACACCCTTCCGACGCGCTTCCGGTATCTGGAAATAAAAAAAAAGGAAGCGTTAATTTCCACTCCATGATGTGGGTTTTTCTGAGTGACTCGGCATTCAATTGAGACGCCGTGGCAGTCATGGTCTGGGGCCCGTCTTGATGAAACGTATTTTACCAGAAGCAACATCTTTGTGGAAGCAACAAAAGTGCGAAGACCTTGAACGTGAGCCTACAGCTATGACCGGATACCTCAAAGCACTCTCTATCCTTGTTTTTTTTTTTTCCTTTTTTTTTGTTGCTCTCTGCCCCAGGATTGAGGAGTGGCATGCTTCGAGAGTTGAAGTGTAATTTACAGTATAGGGTGGGAAGTAAGTCTGGATATGGAACCTCGCCCCCTCATCTGCAGAAGTGAGAAAGAAAGGATGAAGGCGCACAATAGCCGAAGCTAGCGAAGAATAAAGGGGAGAAAAAGAAAAGAGAGAATGAGAATGGATGGAGTAACAAGTTGAGAATGGCGGGCTGTTCTCGAAAGCTCATTCATCTGTCAAGCTGAGAAACCCAGGAAAAACCGTGATTGAGTAACGCCTACCATAATGAACTGAGACGCAAAACAGGAACCGGAATCGAAGTTCTTTCTGCTTTCTTCCTTCCTTCTGCTTCTGTTGTGTCTGGAGGAGAGAAAATGGAAGGAGGATGGGGGAGGGAGCCAAAATAGAGTGTCGACACATGGAGCAGTAGGCCCAGACCGCAAAAGAAGCCAGAAGCAGCAGAAGCCAGACACATGTCCCCGGGGCCATTAGTCCTCCTATATGACATAAAGAACCCGCTGTCTCTTCTCTGTACTTCCGACTCGAGTCGGGGAACACTGGACTCCTCTGAACAAACAGAAATGGCCGCAAGTCCTCTTGATTTACGCACAGAAGGGATGAATGAAAGCCCGCTCTCATTCAGCTATGCCTCATAAATTTTATGGGAACTGAAAAAGATAAAAGGCAAGCCGGAAAGGCGAAACTGCTATACGTTTTAGGGCTGTGGCTTCGCTTCTGTCCCTGCTTATTCTTCTTTGTTCTCGATTGCGTCACACGGAGGGAAACAGATAAAAGACACACGAATGCGGTTCTTCACCCTTCGTTCTTTGCGAGGATTTTCTCTGAAATCCTGAAGAAGTAAACAGAGGCACGAAGTCAGGCAACACCAGGCTATTCTATTCATAGCTGAGGGATATCGCTCAAGGATCTCGTCGCCCACATTTCCTCCGCGTCGGCATGCCCACCAAAGTCTCACATTTGGCAAGGGAGATAAAGTGAAACGGGTAGCTGGCATTCTCATATCCAGGAAGTGGATCAGTGACTCCATTTTTCCTTTCTATCGGATCTCCTTCCTTTTTGGGATCAGGTTCCCAAGGGGAGAGGGGATGGATGACTGGCAGGGGGGTGTAAACCGAGGTTTATCGCCACTACACATCTTCGAATACTTCTTCCTTCGACCGAAGTTGGCATCTGTTTGGGAGGGTATGGATTCCATTTCCAGCACAGGAAGATAAGGGGAAGGGAAAATTGCCTGTCATGATGCAAAATGAAGCCATAAGTTCACTCGCGTACACACACACACGCTTCCTCACACGTCTGTTCTGACTCGACTCTAAGGCGAGAACGTCACGCCTCCGTCATTACTCTTGAGAAATGACAGGGGAAACGTCCCTCATTCTTCCTACGACACCTCCGGTAGACCCCCACTAATGGCAGGGAATCCTCGCTCAACCCATTTCTCTTCACCTCGTCCTCTCTCTCTCCCTTTCGGAACTCCAGTTTGTGAGAGGGAAAAAAAAGAAACCAAGGGATCCAAGAGAAGGAACGATCCTTCTTGTGGTCGGATTCCTGCCGACTGTCGTAATGGAAGGGCTCTTATCCTTCTCCTCTTTGAGGATCAGAGATGTCGATGGGATCGCTAATTAGCTGCCGAGTCTCTATCGATCCCCGAACAAATCGTCCTATTATCGGAGGATAAATAACCAGAATCGATAGGGAAAGTTCCTAACATCCAGCCTCGAAAGAGGAAACGATGGCCTTCGCGAGATCGAAGTCNAATCCCCTCCCCTCTCTTCCTCTTCTTCTCCCTCCGTCCCCTCCAGCATCCCCCTCATCGCCGGCATCGCCGCCGCCCTCCTCCTCTCCCCAGACCGGCTTCCGATCATGTAACGCATACAGACGAATCTTCCCTCGGATTTTTTTTTCCTCTTCTCATGCGTTATCGCACATATCTCCCTTCCTAGTGACGAGATTGGGGGGCCTCGTTGAAATTCAAATCCGCTTTCGGCATTAGTGATTCGAACGACGGTCTCACATCCGTCACGAGGGGAATGACGCACAGTCGAAAAGAGTGAAGTATCAACTGAACTACTCAGGGCGCAGTTCGGCAAGAGGAGGGGGGGTGGTCTGTAACCTCCTCTCAAAAGAACAGGATGAACATCGATAAGATGTGGAAGTGGGTTTTTTGACCCCTACGAGAGAAGGGGGAACAATACCGGATGTGGGCCCCAGGTCGACATCAGTATCGGCTCGGTTCCTGCCGAATGAATTGGCAGAGTCACGGTCTCTGGGCAACCCAGCATCCATCCCTCCATCTCCATTCTACACGGATGCGGCCACACGGTTTTTCATCTATGCGTGCATACAAAACCGCAAATCTAGCTTTATGTTCTCCCCCGATCAACCTGACTCCAGAGGTGAAGCTTTTGGTTCTGGGGTGGGGAATTTCTAATTCAGGGAGTATGGCAATTTTCAGGAGAAATTACTAGGAGAAAATAAACAACCAAAACGCGATATTTGAAACAAGGAAATAATGTGAAGAGATTGGAGTCATAATACGGTCATAATACTAAGTGATTTCCCAGCTCCATTTGGAAGTTTTCAACATACAATGACTTTACCAGGTAGAAGCAGCTCGTCATTGTTAGGCTTGTGGTTGTTATTCAAGAAGTCAACTCCTGTCACATGACGAAGGGGGACATCGCTTTCGTACATCATGTAATCTACTGATCTACAGTCCGTGGCGAAGAGATATGTGAAACATCTTCGGGTGAAAGGGTACTCAGAATGATCATGCATACGAGTTCATGTAAATGATGGCGCGTCTTCGGAGGAAAGTGCGTCAAACATCGACAGTGACTTCAGAAAGCAGCGAGTAGAGGACCGGAAGGTGCGAATTTCGGCAGCAGGTCCACCCCAGACAATCGTGTTTCAAGGTGTCTCCACTATCTTGTGGAGATGAAAAACCCACCCAGCATCATTAAAATCAATGGCAAGTCGGCTGCAGGTGTCCAAGTAATTACCAGCTAGGTCATTCGTCAGCATCTCAAAATGGAGGCGAAGCACTGCATGTGCGTCATCTGGCAGGGGATGGGCACAAGCATGTTGTGACATTGAATGAAGCATGGATGTACGTCTCCGATTGTTCAAAGAGCCAGTCCATTTATGACTGAAAAAATAGCGCGAGATGCACGAGACAGAAATAACTGGCTAATGCATCCCCGGGTAAAATTACCGGCTTGAGTTAACCCTTCGAGCCTGTAATTTTCCTTGGGGTACCACTGCTGATTAACGCACGAGGCTGCAGGTACGCAATCAGGATACTTCATGTTCGGGATGCGTCCGCAGCAGGATCAGCCGCAGTTCGACACCGGAGTGACTGCTGCCCTCATGGTGGGACATAGCATCATGGGGAAGAATAGACTGAGCTAACCGTCTCCCTATCCCCCCCCCCCTTTTCCCAAAGAAAGACTATAGACTGCAATTTTCTTGCGTAAAGAATCGTGACTGTCTTATCCTGATGATAAGGCTGTTGTTGACAGTCGGCACATTGGACGACGCATAGCGAAATGTCACCCAGTGCTCTTCAAGCTGAACGTCGCGCGACGTAAAAATGAAAACTCTTTAATCCGCTGAAATTGATATTTTGGGGGAAATTTTTTAAATTACTCTTGGATTTTTTGAGGGAAAACAGATTTATTTAATGCCGGCAACTCCAAGTTGGCAGTGATGTCACACAATCGGAGGTAACATGATGTCACGATGAAAAATGCCTTAAACTCACGGAGTCTTACCCCTTTAGAAGGACGCCGAAGGTGCACGTTTCAGATAAATTAATCGATTTACTTACATCGTCAGGCGCCAAAGGCGTGAGTGTTCCATATTTTTCGACATCTGTGCAGATACGCTCGAAGAAAATATTCCTGATTTATGAAACAGATGACTGCCAGTTTGAGGGGAGTGAATGTAAACCTTCACCAGCGAGAATGAGCCCAAACTGATCCCACACTTGCTCACTCTCTGGCAAGGACTCGCCAAGTCTATCAGGGCCTTTAGAGGTCAGGGAAATTTTCCCCATGGTAGTGTTGCTGGCTGTCCAAGCGAAAGAAAGCTGTCCATCAGGAAGATGGGAAAATATGTGAATATCAAAGCAGCCTATAATCAAGAGACGTTGGATCCTATATTTCGAGAAGGAGTTTCACAGCAGTAATCCAGTAAGGAGGGCAAGGTGAAATTCCGCCAGAAAAAGGTGTTCATTCTCTGGGTCAAACTTTCCGAAAACATATTTCCCGAAAATTAGAAACCCGCAATCATCTCTTTTGAGGCCATTCTTATAAAGTAGGTGCCGCTTATTGTGATCACATCGGTGCATGAAGAACTTGACAACATTAACCGGCTGATAACAAAACGCTGCGATCGTCGAGGATAACCTCGCCCATCTTAGGAAAAACGAAGTAAAGAATAAAACCTTCCCTAATGTTGGGTTGGGTGGGAAAAGAAGGGTGCACTAATGGAAACACTACAATAAAACAACTCGCTACAATTTAGCAACAAAGCAAGTGAAACTCACGCCAAGAGCAACATTCAATTGCACGAGTCAATATTGCACTGTTTGTAAAGTTTGTGCCTCTTTTATTGGTGAAAGGGTAGTGGGGGGAGTGGGGGGGGGGGGGGGGGTTTTG